CTAGTTCTTCTAAAGGAGTCATTACTGTCTGTACAAATTCTGAACTGAACGACTTCCTTTGGGTTTTAGGAAAGGCAGGTGGCTGAATGATCATGGCGACTGGAACACACTGCCCGAGTAGCAGCTTCTCGGACCTTCCTGCCCAGTCCCGTTGTATGCGGCTAACAAGTGACCCTTCCCATAAGCGCCCCACTTGTCCTTCTCCTGCCCCCTTGGCACATGGCTTTTAAGGGTTAGTCCACAGCTAGAAATACTGGTAAGGTCTTTGCTTAGGTAACTCCGTGTGCTAAAGGTATGCCTCCTTGAACACTGGACGTTTCAAAGAGGCTCTGCACTAGGTTTTTGTTCTAAGGGGTTAAAAGAAAAAAAATTATCTCAATCTAGGCCACGTTGACAATATTCTATGTAGTGGAAAAGAAATTTCCTCACAATGGGGGATCACTAAAGCATTCACTCTGACAGCGAAACAGACATTTCACAAGTGCCCAATGAGTTTCATTTGCTAAATAGTAATTAGCTATGATTTAAATAGAAGATTATTTCAAGAACTGAACAGAATAACACTGTTTATGTGCAGCATAATCTGAATAATTGATGGTTCTCAAACAGTGATGCAGATAGAGGGAGCTACCATCTGCTTCCCTTGGAAGAAGCTTTTTCAAAGGGAGAACTATAAAGGGTAAACCCTTTTAGAACCTGGTGCTCCTGCCGTATCCCAAGAAACGTATCCATTCCATATGCAGATATGCTCAGACTTGCCTCTCAGTTCTTTGCCATGGACAGAGGTGGGAGAGAATTACTGCTCTTTGCATAGCCTTTCATTTCCAGGTAGGAAGGCCTTCTACTTTCTCCCTGACGGGCCAGGAGGACTTTTGTGAAAGTAAAACTGGCACTACTTCAGAGTGAAGTTGCTTAGAACTGTTGGTGTTCCTCAATTTCCCTCACTAGAGCTGTTCAAACACACGACCTTGTCCAGACCGGGTTCACGCGGGCTGAAATCACTCTTTTCCAGCTTTTGGTTAAAGAGTCCCAGAGATTGCGTGGTGCTGCATACCGTGCTCCTCCTCCTTAAGGCAACTATTTTTAGAGTGTGAGAAACAAAGACCATGATTTGCGTTACACTTACGCTACTTTACTCATCGTGTTTCTTTGGGGATGGTGTCAACCTCTGCTGCATTCATCCCTATGAGTGCTTCAGGGAAGCGCTGCAGTATGTCTGTAGCTGCAGTTTTCTTAATTTACAGAGCCACAGAAAAGATGGGGCTTTCCAGAGCATAGAGAAGCTGCACATTCCTTCAGTGCTGGTCAAGTCAAACCAAGTTCACTACGTCTGCCTCAGGATGTTTAAAGATACACAAAGCAACTGCCTCTCTATAATGTTCTTCGCTTCTACTTCTGCCCTTGTCAAAGCCCTGAAGGCAGACTCCGCAGTACAAACCCCTGTCTGTGCCCGGGGCTCCGTCCCAAGCTTGAACTTTCAAAGACTCCCTGGATTTCCAGTTGTGTCTAGTTCTCCTGCTGAGTATGCCAGGCTTCGACACCAGGAATCAAGTGCATGGGCACTCTCCTTGGGCTGCCTTACTGCCTCGAGGGGCAACTTCTGTAACGACACCAGTCCTCCAAGACTCTGTTCAACCGCAAGTATGGCTTAAGCTTAGAAGCCTCTTTCTGAGGCTTCTATCCCATATTTTATCGAACATCAGTGATGGTGCCTTGTACCTACTCAATGACATAAGGAGGCCTCTGCAAGTTACATTTCTGTCCGTATGCAGGGACAATGGCAAGGGAATGACAAGAGTGAGTGTGTGGGACGACTGGGCCACAGAGGGTAGGTTTTGCAGAAGAGTTAGATTTGGGACTGGCTTTGAAAGATAACGAAAGCATTTTGGTCAAACTGTATAAAGAAGCTATTTCAGGTAGGTGGGCTGAGCTCCTTGCAAAGAACTGGGAAATTAACTTCACAATTCCAAGCTCTGAGGTGCAAGGAAGCCAGAGGGTGCAGTACACAGTTACTGTCTTCAGTGCAGAGACTTTGTTCATTATAACCTTGGGCCCAGCACAGGGCCCAGACCTGGACAGTATTTGGTAACTATTTCTTCACCGAATGAGTGCTAAATGAGACCCGTATGTGGTGTCTTTTATAATAAGTCATTGCCTGGTGAGAAATAGCATGTGAAACAGTAAGTCACTTTCTCCCTGAGTTGCCCTCACTGGTGAGGTGGCTCATGTATTTCTGAAGATACGCCTTATTCTTCTCAGGAAGGAAGGGTTTTTGGTGAGGCTTTTTGCCTTCTAGAAGAAAATCCTGTCTGCTGGTCCTTTACAGTTGCCTCCATGAGAATTTTCTAAAGTTTTTCCTTCAAGGAACGCACAGTCTCTCTGACATCACTGATAAAGATATAAAAGCAGGTGAAAAGTTGCCAAATCAGGCTTAATTATGCCTTTTTGATACATTTACTCAATTTCACAAAGCTACTGTGAAATATGCATACCTGGGAAGTAGCCTATAGCAGCATTAGGGAGTCTTTGGTGTGACTATTAGCTGGGTAGTGGGGAAGAGCTTTGAAGGGCGGGGACAGTAACTGAGCAGGACCATGCTCAGGGCTAATGCGCAGCTCAGCTGTCCTCAGCTTGCCGCGACTTTGTGCCTTACTGTGCCCAAACACAGACTCTCATGCAAACAGATCGCTTTTCTGTGAAGGCAGTAGCTTAACTAAGTCAGACAGACAGCGCACCAATGAGAACCAAGTGGCGGAAGAGAAAAGGTGTTTTTAACGTATATTCTGGACACTTCGGTGCTTATGTATTGAGAAGAGGCAGGAACAATCAGCGAGAAGCTGATCTAATGCTACTGAGCAACCGGAACAATAAACAACAGAAGGCAGGTTTTTGAGAATTTTGTTTTACCTGGGTAACAAAAATAGCACACAGTTTCTGAGCATCTCTGTCTTCCCACAACTGTGCACGGGGGCCTACAATTCACACCATCTCGCTTTTAATACTACGGGCATCCTCAGGGTTGACTATGTATGAGAGATTACACTGTGCACTTTCATTTATATTTGTTTCTAATATTTATAACACCCTTACAAGTACGGCGCTATTTATTTTCCTTTTCAGAAGCAGGAATCTGAGGCGGGTGAGGTTAAATATTCCAGCAAAGTGTTTCACAAAGCAGAGCTGCTCAGCCTTGGCACAGATAACATTGTTTTTTGTGAGGTGAGGGTCTGCTCTCTGCGTTATGTGATGTTTAGCAGTAGCCCAGCCTCTATTTACTAGATGCCAGTAGAACCATACCAGCTGTGACAACAAAAATATCTCTGGACATCGCCAAATATCCCTGGGGAGGGGAGAGTTAAAATTGCCACCAGTTAGGAGTAAGTGGCTGCCCTCTACTGTGAAGTCAAACCTGTTTATCTTCAAGGGCAACTCTTTCCTTTGCTACACACTGATGTGTGGACGGCGGCACTTATAAGAGCGGACTGTCTTGCACAGTGGCAGAATGATCCAATGTACTCCTAGCTGTCATGGTAATTAACGTCATTTTAAAGTCAAGGAGCATATAGTAACTGCTAATATTTACTGGGTTTCCTGTGTCCCAGTGGTTGGCCAAGTGCCTGACACTTGTTTGCTCATTTGACTGTCTCCACAGCCTTGTGAGAAATGACATGCCAGCAGTCTTACCACAAATAAAGTAGACTTAGAAGAAGGAATTTGCCACTCCAGCAGTAGGAGAGCAATGTAATAGTTAATAACTTTTCAAAGTTCAATTCTGGAGTCCTTGTGAGAAGTCAGAGTTTAGTGCCATCTGAGGTTTCAATTATCTGCAACTATGAAATGTACCTGCTTAAGCTTGAGCTTTCAGTGAAGGATTGTTCTGAGCAATTTCCACGGAGTGAACTAACTAGCTGATGTGGTGGTGCATGTCTTTGGGTACCAAGTGCTCTCATAGGGTGGAATTTCACGTCAGTCTCTCCTAGAGGAATGTGTGGAACCTCCCAGGAAAATGGAATGAGTTTAAAACAAGCGTTGTACATTTCTCACTCTTGCTTCCTCAATACTGTTTCTCATAAGAAGCCATGAATATTAAAAGTGTTTTCTAAATCAAAGATGTAGTCCCAGAAAAGAAATGTGATTGTGCACTCTTTGGTTGGAAGCAATGACTTAGTAGTGATCAAGAGAAGAAATGAAATCCAGCGTCAGCAGAAGGCATTGGCCACCTTGCTCTAAGTAAAAAAAAAAAAAAAATAGTCTGGCTCAAAAGTTGGTCTAGTAAGTTAGTAATAAACTGAACTATATTATGATTCCACACAGAGAAGCATTCCAACTACAGATCAATGAACTGTGCTAAAAACTTTACTGAGTATATTTTGGGGGTTGGCTTGTGGGATATCATGATTTGAACAAGGAACAGTGAGAGAGAAGAGCTTGAGAGAGCAGGAATAGGAATACTAATTGTCAAGCAGAAGTCACTTGACTATAAGACGGAGGGCACGGGACCATAAACAGGAATCAGTGAGGAAAAGAAGCTAAATACTAGCCAGTGTTCATAGAGGACTGTACACTAAGTGTTTTCCTGAGGCTTCACTATGCTCATAAGACACCCACCCTTCCATAAGACTGAATGAGTCAACTGAGCATAAATGGAATTAATAGACCATGCAGGAATGTATGGTGGGACTTTGTTGGGGGATGGGACTGGGGGAAACTTGAAGTGTCGGTATGGAAGAGCTTTCAGGGAACACAAAGACTTATATGGGGTTTGAGGCTCTGCACAATCTGCTTCTTTGGAAGCAGCAGGCCCGCAGATAAGTGTCCTGTTCAGTTTTCTGGCATCTTGTATGCAGAAAGGTTCCAGGCTTGCTTTAATGCTCTATTACTGCCACCTTAAAATTCTTAATAAATTTTGGACAGTGCATCCTGTGTTTTCATTTTGCATGTGAATGTGCAAATTATTCAGCTGGTCATGGTCAGCAGCTTTATCCAATACTCTTTTGCAGTGTGGCATGTCTTCATTACTTCAGGATGCCAGAGGGGATGGAGTTGCTTAGGAAGAAGCCCTCAGTAACTCAGGTGCGTGCAACGACACTCTACTAGCCCTACTTAGCTGAAAACAATGAAATGTTCTATTTCTTTAATTCTAAGAGTCCTTAAATATGGCACTCCATAGGCTTAGTGGCAGCTTCTTTTTTTCCATACATTAACTTTTCAGACAGAATATCCACTCCATAGTGATTTAAGAAACACTATACCATGTAACAAAGAGAAAAGGGTATCTTGGTATGGCGGAGATACAGTTGTTGATGGACATTCATCAATCCTTAGATTGAACTTTGGACAGAAAGAGAAAGCATTCATCTTGCCTGGTTGATCTTTCTTCAGTTCAGAGAATTTTCAGGGTTGTTTAAATCCCACTAAAAATCTCAGTGAGATTAGTTGAAAGACAACTAGTTGCAAGCAACATGAGGTGCAGGCTCTGAGATCTAAACATTAGTGAGAAGAAGCCCTTTGGGCTTCTCCTTGTGGCGGGTTTGTTTATTCTGCTTGTTTTAAGTCAGGCCTAACAGCATTTTTTTTTTTTTTTAATTTTAGAGAGAATAATAAAAAAGAACAATAGCAAAATACCAACAACATAGACAAAGCAAAAACAATCAAAAATGATACAGTTAATTCCTATCATTTTGTTCTGAAGACCTAACAATCTTAGAACCTTCAGTAGCTGAAAGGCAGACAGAAGCATTTGTGTACCCAAGAGTATGACTCTGAGAAAAGTATAATGTCCCTTTCCCAGGTACAAAGTTTCCCTACATCAATTTTCTTAGATATTTGATCGACACATCCCACCTAGCAAATGTTTCCTTGGCTGTCCACAGTTCCTGGCTGATACATCTCTCTTCCCCAGAGAGCCCTTTACCAAGGAACTCACTGGTGATAGTAGACACTGACTTACCCAGATACCCTGTGATAGGCCGGGCACTATCTTCCTCGCATATATCTCTTACCAACTCTGACTTGAAAAGATGGACCATAGCACTTCTTCCCAGGGCTTGCAGACAGAACACAGTGAGTTACCTCTGAAAAGGGACTTAGCATTTGCTCTTGATGTCCAGTCATTAAAAATGCACTGAACCATAAGCTGGACATTGAATTCAGAGTCATAGATTGTCTAATACTTTTCTATGTCCATCGAAAAAGACTTTGATGAACACCTCCTACACACACAGTACAGTTAGGTGAGTGGTTGGGAAGAATCTGAAGGCAAATGAAAGAAGTCTCTGACCTCAGAAGTGAGGTGAGTGATGGTTTTTAATCTGGAAGAACAGAAAAGAACTGTGTATATAAATCTATGCCAATGAAGCCTGTTGTCTAGTTTCTGCTTCCTATAAACTACTCACTTCACATCACTACGTAGATATATCACTTCACATCCACCTTTGAAACCTTCTTATTGATCAGGTCCAGTATTTGTACAGTGAGATGAGCAGAAGGCTGCCTTGTACATACTTGACAATGAGGATGATAGTCATGATTTCCTTCTTGCTTCCTATTGTGTGGCTGTTGGAATGAACCTTGCTTTCTTCAAGTTCCTCTAAGAAGAAATGTAAAACTGTGGTGATGTTCATGAAGGAGAAGAAGAAGGAGAAAGAGATGGAGAAGGAGAAGGAGAAGGAGAAAGAGAAGGAGAAGGAGAAGGAGAAGGAGAAGGAGAAGGAGAAGGAGGAGAAGGAGAAAGAGATAGAGAAGGAGAAGGAGATGTGGAAGGCAAAGGAGGAGATGGAGAAGGAGAAGCAGAGAGGGGAATGAGGAGGGAGAGGAGGAAGAAGGAGGAGGAGGAAGGAAAACAAGAAGAAAACAACTCCAGGAGACTACTTTTCAGCATTTCCTGTTTCTGGCACTCTTCTATGTTTGAAACACCATTTCTTACCTTTGTAACACTACAAAGTAGTTAGTATTACCTTCATTTTCCAGAGGAAGGAATGGAATGTCGGAAGGTTAAGTAGCTTGCAGTGGGGGTAGGGCAGGAGTTCAGGTTCAGACTGCTTTCAGTACTCAGCTGCAGTCCCGCAGCATGGTTGCCTGGCCTCTCACAGCCCCCTCCCAGGATTAAAGCTCCGGTCCTCCGGGAGCACCAAGGAAAAGGGCCCGAGGAAAGAACCAGACTGCGTTACTTGGAATGGAAATTGGCAAGTGCTGGGGTAGAAGCTACTGTCTCCTAAGTGGTTTTTTCTCTTAGGTAAGCATTAGCATTCTGAAATAGACAGAACACACGCTTGTAAAATGCACAGTGACATTTTTACTTGAGAAGTCTAAAGGCACAAAAGAAGGAAAAGGTAGAAATAAGTTCTCTACTTTAGAAAGAAGCATGAGAAAGGATGTCAAGGGTAAGGATTTCTGGAAAATTATGTCATTGCCTGAACTGTTTAGCTACTCAGCTCTGTCTAAGGCACGGGAACCTGAGCTCTAACACCCTTAGCAGGTTACCCCCACAGAGTGCATGACCTTGACAACTCTGTTCTCAGGGCCGTTGCACAAGACAGGTGAGGTCAGTGAGATATGTCGCCCAACCACTGCTTCAGGTGTTTTAAATCCTGGTGAGTATCCAGTCAGGTTTCTAGAAATCTGCACATTAAATTTAAGGCAGTTAAATTTAGGGAAGGCAGCTCAAGTTTGGTTAAAATAACTGTTGTGAATGCCTGCTGTCCATAGGCATGAGGGATTCAAGAAAACTCAGGCTGTGGGAGCTCACTGATTCAACCAGGTCAGCCCAACACTTGTGGTCCCACTGCAGTGAAGGCCCATGGCCATTGGTAAGCATCTACACCAACAAAACTTCTTTTTGAATAGCTTGGACCCAGGTCCTCGAAATGACCCTTCTTTATCTTTTTCCTTAAAGAAATGTTGTTAAGATTGTGAAATAAAGGGGCTGGGGATTTAGCTCAGTGGCAAAGCGCCTGCCTGGCAAGTGCAAGGTCGTGAGTTCCGTTCTCGGTACCGGAGAAAAACCAAAAAAAAAAAAAAAAAAAAAGAAAAGATTGTGAAATAAAATAGCATTTAAAAAAGAAACTAGAATAAAATGATGCTCTCAGAGTGTAGCAACCATGCACGGTAAGGGGAAGAGCTGGGTGTGTAGCTTTTGTGGGCTGTGTGTGTCTGTGCATGTGTGCTGGGATGTGGTGTAAAATACATGTCTCACGGGGTCATGGCTTGAAAAGTTGGCAAAGCACTGCCGTAAAGGGGTCCTCTAGCCCTTCTTCCTCATCTCTTCCCTTTCGCTAGTCAGATTCTATTATGGATCCTTCCCCTTGCAGGGAGGACTCAGCATTTCAAACACTCCTGCCTTCCCCAGGCCAGTTGACTCATGGCTGGGCTTTGATTGCTGTATGTCCACATGCCCATCCCTGGCTCTGCCTCTCCACACATCCTGAGGTTCCTGGCCCAAGATTACAGCCTGGATGAACCACTGGATGCCCTGCTCATTCATGTAGAGTGGCTCAAAAGCCATAAATGCAGGTTTTTTCTGCATGTGTAGTGAAATCATTGCTAACTTAATAGTTATTTCTTTTCAGTGTGCCTGACTGGTTTCATAGCGAAGCTTTAAAGAAAAGCAAAGGTTTGCCAGAGAGGGCACAGTCTGGGCCTGTGAGGAGCTAGGAAACCAAGGCTGCACATTGCTCATGATTTCCCTAGAAGTCTCCTTCACCTGGCTTCCTCGCCCTGTCTCCTCAGCATCCTTTGATCATAGTGTTCGCATCTGTTTTGGGCATCTCAGTGCATAGCTCTGACTTTTGATCTCAACCACAAGCTCCAACTCCCTTCTTACCACCTCAGACTTTGGTAAGGAGGCTAATGTTTGTAGAGGGCTGTCCATAAACCAGACACTGTGTTAACACACACCTCTGCCATTATTCCACACTCTCCTAGCCAGACCAGGGAGTAGGTGATGATTTACTCTTTTTTTTTTTTTTTTTTTTTTTTGTTTACTCTTTTTTTTTTTTTTTTTTTTTTTTTTTTTTTCACACAAGGAAACTGGAACCATGCTATGTAGCTGGCCCAAAGTATGTGAACCTGGCTGGATGGCTGATGAACTTGCAACTGGGACAGGTATTAAAATTCTGCCTTCCCGCCCTAGTCTCATTATTGTTGCCTGGCCAGGATGTTAACTTTGTGATGATATATTCCTCTAAGGATTGTGTTTCAGGAAAAGGGGTTGTGTTCCTAAACTTTTGGTACTAGTTTTTATCTACTGGCTATGAATAATATAATTTTGCACTGGTTTCTAGGGAGCTTAAACATAATGTTTGCATAATAAATATGTTAATCCTATAACTGGCATTAATTCTCCTTTTCATTGCTTCAATCTTTCCACTGTATTTATGTGAGCATATATGCATGTAAATATAACTATAAACCACCTCCAATTTGTCACAAGGAAGAAAATATACACACCATTGTATTCTTTCAGAAAGATCCTTAATTTTTTTTAGCAGATGAGAATATGAATTAATGAAAAGATGGGTTGATAATGTCATTGTATAAAATGATATATAGTAGGGTCTCCTTGCATTTTACTTTAGAAGAAGTGGATATACAGTACCATGCTTTACCATTTGCTTTGGCAGAGTCTCAGGGAGAGTTGGCAGGATTGCCACATATGGGTGTGCAAATTGTGTGCAGCACAATTTCAAGCAGCGAAATTCATTTCACAATGTGTGGAGTTACTCATTAACTGCTCGCTGGAATTGAAGTTGTCGAAGGGGCAGTGACCGTGGAACAGAGAGGCATTGCACTGCTTCTGTTTCTTTTTCCCTGCTCTTAAAGTCCCAGGAAACGTAGGTGATCACGAAAGCGACCCTCACCCCGAACCCTTTCTCTCTTCACAATAGCAGGGGAGCGGGGCAGCAGCATCAGGAGGAGGCGAAGGAGGAACCGGGGAGATGACGCACTGAGCCAGCAATCGATCATCTCAGAGCCTCTCCCAAATGTCTTCTGGCTTTGTTTAGAATACTGAGTGGAAACGCCTCCCCCTTTGGAGAGTCTGCTTTCTCACTGGACAGGGAAGGTTCTAGCCCAGGCTGGGAATGCTGAGAACGGATGGGAAAACTCTTTAGATTCTTGTCATTCTTCATTGCTTCTTTCCCCAAGGCTTCACGTTTGGGATGCGTGTATATGTCATCTGTCAGCTATGAGGAAAGTCCTGTGCATTCTGAGTGACCCTCGCTGGGGACACCGGGTGTCGGAGGTGGAGTGGATTTTGTCAAGTGTGTCCAATGTATGAGTATATGCATATGTACGTCTATGAATCTATTTATATATGCTTACATTGTATGTTTGGCCAATGAAAAATAGGAAAACATATTTTTCTGAGAGCTGGTACAGGAAAGGGTGAGAGCAGTGGGGCTACACACTGGGAGGGAAAAGACCAAGTTCTGACTTGATCCCATGGCACTGACCTCCACAATCTTCCTAGTACAGAAATCATCGTCCAGAAAAAGGTTATTTTTACTAGAAATCATAAGAAAGTAAAAAGACCTCACTAAAAAAATTGCTTTAAGGGCCGGGGATATAGTTCAGTGGCCCAAGCGCCTGCCTGGCAAGTGCAAGGTCCTGAGTTCGATTCCTGATACCAAAAACAAACAAGCAAACAAATTGCTATAAATTTGGCACCGGTTTAGAGAAGCAGTGGGGCCGAGTCTACAGCTGCATGCACAGTGCTCCAACCGGGGGTCTACAGGAAAACTGGGATAAGAATATTACTACTAACACCTGCATCGGGAGATGTGACAGAGCTGTGGAGAGGAACGTAGAGTAAGCACCGGTGCAAGGTGCAAGTGACACTGGACACAAAGGCAGAGAGAGCGCCATCCCACGGGGTCAGCCCTGAGGAATGTGGCTGGGGCGTGGCCGGCTGGTCTCAGGGGGTCCTGGTTCTGAGTGCTCTCATATCTTCAGCCTTAAGCCACGCCCGGGATCATTTTAACCCTATTTGATTTCCAACTACTATGCTGTCTTTAGAACCTAGCCGTCCCTCTTCCAAGATGTGCCTGCACAGCGCTCAGTAAATGGTGGTTGTCACTACTAAAGTTTTCTCCACTGAGAGTGTCCAAAGCCTTGTGATGACTGAAGATGACGTGCGACCTGTAAGGAATAGCTGTCAGACTACAGGGAGTGGGACTGCTCTGATTTTCTTAATGAGTGAGAAACTATGGAAGTCCCCACCCCCACTCCAAGTAATAGCTTTAAGTTTTCAAGTCTCATTACTTTTAGGCTCACTTTACCTGTTTTTTTGATGATGTAGTCTGGGTTAAATGGAATTTACCTCATATTATATATGCAAAAAATGCCTTTTCATATCAGCTTCCATAGGACACTGCTATGATAGACACAGACGACTGGCATTGGCCATTAGAAAATAGCTGGTGTTAATTATGGGTCAACATTATCAGGCTAAAAGTAGAGACAGTTCATTATCTGTCAGTCTGCTCTAGTAAGACTCTAAGCTTAGTATGTTGCAGATTCTAAAATTTAGTCTAAGTCAGGGATTCTCAAGACTGGCCCCACACTGGAAAGCGCTGAAAAAATACAGATGCTAGTGCCTGGTCTCCCGAATTTAAATAGCTTGGGTGGAGCTCAGCTGTCTGCGCTGTATTTAAAGCTTTCTTGGGCGATTCTAATGTGCTAAGCTTATATATAACCTTTCAGTGTGTTCTACATGCCTGGTTTTCACACCAGGAGAATCAAAGCTTTGGAAGCACCTGGGGAGCTTATTAAAATGCAAGCTGTAGAGCCCCGCCCCCAGGGCTTGGATTCAGGAGATACGATGTGGGACAATGAGTTTGAATTTCTTACGAGTTCTTGTTGCTGTTGGTTCTGGGCCACACTCCCCTTCCCCCGTGGAAGGGCCTTCATTCTGAGCTACATCTCTATTTTGATTTTTCAGACAGGGTCTTGAGAAGTTGCCCAGGTAGCCTCTCGCCTTTTCTCCACTTGGTTCTACCCACCTGCAGCTTCTTCTGTTCCTCTGATAAATACACTGTGTCCTCTCTACCCTGACGGTCTCTGGACTCACCTTTTGCTTGCAGCGCCTCCCATGTGACAAAACATCTCCCACTGAGCAGACACCCTCATTCCATTCTCACTAACTGGCGCTAGGTTTCCTCCAGCAAACATCCACTGGGGAAATGCTACTGAATTTACTAATATCAATACATACAATTTTCCAACATGTAGTTTTTTATTAAGTAAGGTTTCATTTCCTACAATGAGGTGAATATAAAAGCAAACTATTGCTATTCTCTTGTATAAAAGCACTTGAAATGTCTTAATATACTGTATAATACATCAGTATATTCCTTTTTAAAAAATCCATAATTGGTAACGAATACCATGGGAGTGGAATTGTATCATTAATAATAGAATCACGAAAAAATAATAGAATCACAGGTGTGACATTGTGTGTATATACAGTATAAGTAAATATGAAATGGATGCCAGAGCTCTCTGCCCTCCGCCCACACCAGCCTGAGACTCATTACTCTTGCTGTGACTTTGTCTCTGGGGAAAGGGCACCAAGTTGAGTGGGGAGGAGGTGAACGAATGCCTTTTACTCCAGCAGCTTCCTGTGCAAGTTTCCCTGATCAGTTAGTGCCTCGATTTCCCTTCTTGGCTCCCAATGCCTCCAGTAAATGCCATCAAAAGGGCTGGGAGAGAAGTGAGAAGCAAATACCCCTCAAATGATGGAATACGAGATACTGTCCAATTTAAACTTTGCTTTTTTTTTACTCCGAGTTAATGATTTTAGAAGTAAGGAAACTCACAATATCTGTCAAAATAGAAGTCTACAGCAATCATTTTTTGCACCTGTGTTCCATTATCACTTGTTGAAATGAATAATCTCTATGTGGTGTCTGTGAGCAAGGAGCTCCTGGAAAAATGTCATTAAAGCATTCCGTCTACCTGTCTGTCTATCTATCTATCTATCTATCTATCTATCTATCTATCATCTATCATCTATCCACCTATCAAATACTATAGCCTTCCTGATACAATGAAACTAGCTTTAATTTTCCTGTCCCCGGGTTTGTCCACCTTGGAAAAACAATCTAAGAGTGCAGAATTAATATTCAAAAGCCAAATATTTGTCCAAACAATAAAAATAGCTACTACTTATAACAGTTATTAATGTCCTAGTTATTGCTGTAAGATATATACACACATTATTATTATTGTTTTTTTTTCTTTTTGAGACAGGGTCTCGCTCTGCAGTTCAGGCTGGCCTTGAGCTCACTTTGTAGCCCAGGCTGGCCTTGAACTCGCAACGATCCTCCTGCCTCAGCCTCCCGATTGCTGGGATTACAGGCGTGCGCCACCATGCCCAGCTTAATACACACATTATTTGATCTTCACAAACCCCTGTGAGGTAGGTGTAGTGCTGCTGTTATTCTCATCTCACGCTTGAGGAAATAGAAGCACACAGAGGTAGAACAACACACCCAAGGTAATGCGGCTGGCCAGCCGGGTGCTGCAATATGAATTCAGATAGTGCATCTTTTAAGGTTTATGTGCTACGCTGCCATTTTAAATTCTCATTGATTGTCCTAGTTGTTTAATCAGATAGTTGATTTCATGTAAAGAAAAATAGCGCAATGAACTGGATAATAGAATGTCCAATTTTCACTGGGTCATGCTGCTTTCATGTAGATCTAGCCCGAGCAGGGCTTTCTCACCATTAGTTCAAACAGCACAAGAGCTGTGTTGTGAGGATGTGATTTTTGGGGAACAAGGTCATCAGAGCTTCTCAGATGACCCTTCCTTTTGATGTCATTAAAGATGGGAACCAGGATGGATTTGTCACTCTGATGCTGTTGGTGTTGCTCGCCTCCAAGAATTCTAGGTCTCTACAGTCAGTAGTTTAGGACCTAACAGCTATAGATGCCCCTCCCCCTCCTAGAGTGAGTATAAATGACCCTTGAGGTCATTCTCTTAAAACTGACTCATTGAGGCTTGAGGTGGGACTGTGCAGATATAGAAAGGGGAAAAAAACACTTGAGGTGTCCTTGGGGTTAAGTATATATTTGTACCTATCAGTAAGACAGGTGGAGCCGGGCTTAAGGTAATGCTCCGAGGTGATCCTGACATAAACAGCAGA